GACTTAAACTCAGGGAGGGACTCTTCAGGTCCCTGTTTGGGGGCCAGCTGAGGTGGGAGCGTTGACTCTGATCCTGCAGAGCCCGTCCCAGGGTCGTTAGGATTCAGGGAAAATAAAATCAGTCATCCCAGACACTTCTCTGTCTGTCAGGAGAGGGGATGACTCTTCCCTTTAGTGGAGAAGGCACCAAGCCTCTGTGTCCAAAGGCCTTTATTGAAAGGGTTATCAGTGGGGCTAGGCAATAGGAATGTACAGGTGATCTCATTACATCAGTATGTTAATGTTTACAGAGAATAGATGATGTTTTGAAGAAAACAAATGGCAGGAACACACTGACTTACATGGGTCCAAGAGGAAACGAGTAAACATGAGAGTGTAAACATAAGGGCACCAAAGGGTTTAGGGTCATGGTCTGTGAATAATGTAAATTTCCTTCCCAGCATGAGCTGGTTATCATAGCTTTGGAGGGAAGAACAAAGCATGCTTTAAAGAATTTACTTCTAGGCCTGATTTCTCCCAGGAACTACCCAATCCAGTTTAGGGCTGTCTCCAGTACTGTTTCAAATGTGAGCCAGGCCGGGGGAGGGCAGGGCAGCCAGGAGGTAAGGAGGCTTCTTTCAGATAGAATGAGGACCCTGGCCATGTCAGAGCCAAGGGGTGAGGGTCTTTTTGCCCATTCTCTGTGTCCCCCAAGTTTTCCCCTGATGCCCATTGTGGCTGTGCCTGTCTTAGGTTTCTCCTCTCGTTGAGGAGTCTTACCCATCATTGACTAACCAGCCATCCTCCAAGGCCAAGCAGGGTGATGTGAGGGAGGCAGGGGCTTCACCCCTGCCAGGGGGAAGGTTTTGTCGTCTCAGTGGCCTGTTTTCCCAAGGCCTCCTTGATTAGCTCCAGCCTCGGGGCCCTCTTACCTGTCAGCAGGGCTATAGTTCCTGAAATGAGACAGGGTGTTTCCCAACAATACTCCTGTCACTTTGCTAAACTATTTTTCAAGTAAATAATAAATATGACTTCTAATAAAGTCCATAGTGCAGAACATGAAAATGACATAGATAATATTGTAGTAAATAGAATTGTGTATAAATAAGCTTCCTCTGCAAATAAAATTTACTGGTATGTATTTTAATTACCAATACATTCATTTCCTAATTATCAGATACAGAATAAATAATAAAAAATGAATTCTAAATTTTACACCTGCAGAAAATTCAGTAAACTATTGAATATATGAATTATTATGTCACAAATAATAATATTTTAATTGGAGAAAGACAGTTTTCTGAGCTGTTTAATTTGAGATTAACAATGTGATTAAGGGTAAGTTTGAAACAGGCATAGAGGATTCAGTCAAAAGTCAGAACCAGAACTTTGAATATGGGAAATACATTTATAGGAATATAAGAAAAGTCTGAACACAGAAGGTGCAGAGAGAAAAAATAAGATGTAATTTGAGTGCTTGGGAATTGAAGAGGGTAGGTGGGAGATTGGGCTGAGTGTTTGTCAGACCAGATAAAAAAACAAGATCTAATTATGTATTCATATTCAAAGACTAAAATAGGTTAACATTTAAATGATGTTTACAAGATATGTCATGTAAACCATTAAGCATAATTAATATTAAACAGAATAGATTTTAAGATAATAAATATTATTAGAGATAAAGAACAAAATTTCATGATAGCAAAATGATCAATAAATCAAGAAAACTTAACAATCAGAGACTCCTCACCCATCCCTCACTTCATACTGAGAATTTATGTTCCACCTAGCATTTCCACATTGGGAGCTGTTTCAAGGACATGTCTTGGAGACAGTAAGGTGTCATTGAGACCATCAGGACTGATTACAGTAATTGAAACCATTTAAGGCCTCTGTATAAAAATTTAAGGTTCTAGGGGGCAATGAGGGAAATCTACTCCTCTTTCAATTGCCCAAGACAAGACTTCTATGTATGTTCCCTTCCTTGTTAATCCTGCCACTTACATAGAATAGTCTGCTTCTTTCTTCAGCATCTTCTTGCTCTCCATCTATTTTGGGGTTGAATTTGCAAAATAACAATAATTTAATGACACAAGGAACTGAGAGATTTTTAGTTTTCTTTTTCTTTCTTTTTTTTTTTTTTTTGAGAATTTTAAACAGGTTCCAAATGATATAGCATACAATTTTTTAAGGAAAAGGCAGAAAATAAAGTCAATTTGATTAACACTATACAGTCATGTGCACAGCCATGTATGTATTTAATTTTAAGGAAGTAATGGAATTTTTTAATTTGTTTAGGTTCATTGAGATGAGAATAAAGCCACTGCTGCTCACACAGAAAAACTAACACAGAAAGAGTATATACCTAGTTGATAGAATTAAGTAATGTGTTGGATTTTGGAGACAAGTTGAAAATCTCATATATTCTAAACATAATCTTAGAGTTGGTTGCAGGTTTTGTCAGTAACACATTTATAATGAAATGAGTCCTTTGCTTGTTTCTAAGAAAAAGCTGTGAGAGTGGGGTAAATTAGCACCCAAGCAATGCCTTTGCAAGGGAACGCATTGTATTCATCTTCATCTTCACTGTATCTTAAACTTCCTGTGACAGAATGGATTTCAAGGTAGGCACATATGCAAACCAAACTATGCCAATTAAAGATTAATTTGAGGTGAAAGTAACTATTTATAGAAGGTATAATTTATCTTATAGGAATGCAAGTAAAATTTTTCCCAAAGAACATTGCGAATATATAGTGAGCTGGTTGGATTATATTACTCTATTCATGTCATCATCAGAAATAAATATATTTAGTGTTGAATGAATGTTTTGATTTTGCAAATGTACCAGTGTGTTCTTTAGAAAATTTCTAAACTTTAAGTCCAATACACTTATACTAAAAGCATGTAATATTTCTTTTTTACACTATATTTCATGTTGTCACTAAGGTAACTTGTACAGTCACCATTGTCAAGATAGATCACTTATTTTGATAAAGACCTGGTTATGTTTTAAAACTATGTATGGTATTTTACATTCAGAGGACAAAAATCTAATAATAGGCAAACCTTTGTTTTCTAAGATTGGAAAAAGTAGTAGGACTCTCAATACTTTCCTAAGATGCAAGAAAATATGATCAAATTGCCAAAATTACAAACCAAAATGTTGCACAAATTCTAACTCCCCAAAAAACTTTTCCTAATTCTACCTCTATGCGTATAATTGATTGATAAATAAAAATACTGCATTCTGTTTAAGAAGTGGGAAAGTCAAATTTCTTTTGAAAATAATGAAGCAACAATGTTTTTCTTTTCCTACTAAATCTAGAAGATTGGTTTTATTTAGTTAGCCTCCTTAAGAATGATCATCTCCAGAAAATACATGACTACTATAAAAACTTTATGTTCTTTATATTAACATAAAAAAAAACTCAACGTGATTTCTTAAAGTTGTATGACAGAGATCAAAAGAAAAACAAAAAAGATCTTTTCAAGAGATGTATTTTGCTACATTTATAAACAAAAAAACAAAGTTTTAAATGTGCCATTATTTTCTCACAAATTTGATTCTTAAGAAAAATTACCAAATAAATATTTTAAGGTTTAAACAAATGCATCTACATTTTCTTTAATTTTCACTTTTTATTCAGTTTAACCTGATGTTCTAATGTCATATTTTCACTTATATCATTTTGTCAGTGATAATAGTAATAAAAATAGATTTTCTATTTAGAAAATAGAAATTTTCTATTGCTTCTTTCTTTTTTAGATGCATATTACATTATTTTTTTCCAGCTCATATTCATTTCACCATTTTAGATAAAAAATTAAGAATACTAAGAAAATTTTCATTTCTCTTATTTGTAAATCTAATATGTTATGTGTCAATGTAAGCAATGTAAAAAATTAGCTGCCTTCTCTTTTTATTTATTTATTTTTATTCTATTATAGTTGTCCCAGTTTTTTCCCTTTTGACCTCTTCTACCCAGCCTATCCCTCTAGCCCACAGTCAGTCCCCTCTCTGTTGTCTATGTGCATGAGTCATTCATACATGTTCTTTGATTAGTTCCTTCCCCTTCCTTCCAGCATTCTCATTCATCCTCCTTCCTTCTGACAGCTATCAGTCTGTTCCATGTTTCTATGTCTCTGATTTCATTTTTATCATTAGTTTATTTTGTTCATTAGATTCCACTTATGTCATATTGTATTTGTCTTTCACCAACTGGCTTATTTCACTTAGCATAATAGTCTCCAGTTCCAAGTTGTCATAAACCATAGTGTTGGTTTAGACTGTTTTCAACTTTTTGCAGATTAAGAAACAATCCAAATGACTGTAATATGAAAGTTTAGTCATGACAACACAAGTTATGTTTGGAGCATTAATAGAAAATCTACTCTGCAGAACTAGTTTAAAAATGTGAAGACTATATAGTTAATGGACATTTCTGTTTTCCTTTCTTTCCATGTAGGTCTTTTCTATGAAATTAATGGAAAGAAATTTGATTCCTCACCCAGTCTCCATAATTGTACACCTACAGAGCTCATGAATAACTTCAAATATACGTGTCCCTGTGACTTTATTGATAAGTAACTTTGAAAGTTGCGCCTTGTAAAGAACACTTACCCCTGGGGACATACATCAGGAAGTTATTGATTCAGTAGTACATCCCTTTTCTTCCTTTTTTATTTCCTTTAACATGGCATTTGACTTTTATCCCAATATTTTGAAACATCCTATTCCATCTCGAGACTGCAAAGCAGAAGATAAATTAGTGCACATCTGAATACACTTTCAATGCCTACCAACTCAAAGGAGATCACTCTGCATTATGTAATTTCAAGGAGAGTTGCTGCAGTTTGTAGTAAGGTGAAATATTGGGTTCTGACACTAATATATGTGGTATTCTTATCTAGTGAGTGTAGTTTTAGATATCACCCAAAATGGACTAAAAGATTTGGGCAAATTTAAGAATTATAACCTGGTACATGCTTGCTTTTAAAACTTTAATACTATTTTCCAGTGATACAAAATGTGACATAGATGCAGATGAGTGTGCTTCACATCCCTGCATGAATGGAGCTACTTTCATTGGCCAATCTGGTAATTACTTCGCCAACGTGAGGCTCCATTTAAAGGTAATGAACACCGAAGGAGGAGGAAAAGCCAACATGATTATAAAACATTTCTATCCCTTGTCTGAACTCATTACAGTCTTCCAATGACATTATTAGTCCTTCATTTTCTTAAAGCCACCTTCTAAAGTGACCAACCAATGAGGTTTTTCTTCTTATCCACTAAAATAATTAATCTTTTTTTATTAGAAAGGCCCCCCTATGACCAAATGATACCCTGAAAAGTAAGAAATATATTAGCAACCTATCATGTCATACGTATATTTAAAACGTCTTTTCTTATTATGTAATTTCTCTTGAAATTTCAAGTTTTCAAAATTTTTTTCTTTATACTCTAATCAATCACTTAATTTTTGAAAGTAGATCTATTTAGTTTAAAATATAGTCGGCGGACATATAGCAAGGACTCATGGACAAAACCAAAGGGGAAGAGCTGAGGGAGGGAAGGTGGGAGGGGGGGGGGGGGGGAGGCAGAGACAAAGTATTTAAAAAGTAAATAAATTATTAAAAAGTCGCATTAACAGACACTTTTCATTTGGTTTCAATTTTGATCATACTTCTTCGCCTCATTTAAGAAACTATATTTTTTCAAAAACTAAATAAATTTTTGGTTGAATTGTAAAATATATTTTTTGATAAGTTACTGTGCAAACTAATATATAAAAAACACTTAAACTTAATTTCCTTAAACTTAAGTATCTTTTTCTAAGACACAGAATTTGAAAACTTTGTATCCATCAGTGAGTATGTCAGTCAGGGTTCTCCAGAGAAACAGGACCAATGAAAGATTATATATATATATATATATATATATATATATATATATATATATATAATCTTTATTATATATATAATCTTTATATATATAAATAATCTTTATTATTTATATATATTATATATAATATATAATTTATTTATATATATTATATAAATAATATATTTTGAAGCTGGAAATCCAGAAAAGTCAGTGGTGTAATTGCAGCCTGAGTCCAAAGGCCTAAGAACAAAGAGAAGCCAATAGTGTAAGTCACAGTTCAGAAACAGAAGAAAGCCAATGCAGCTCAAATAGGCAGGCAAGAAAGAAGAAATTCTGCTTTCCTTCACTTTTTATTCTAGTCGGACCCTCTCAAATGTAGCTGATGCCCAAAGTTATTGAGAAGAGTGAACCACATTACTCACTTAGTTCATTGATTCAAATGCTGATCACCCCAGGAAACAAATTTCACAGACACACCCAGAAAAAATATTTAATCTGGGCACCCGATGGCTCAGTCAAGTTGACTAATGAAATTAACCAACCATCATACTTTTTAACTAAATGAAATCAATTTAGATATTTTCAAAAGTTGTATCTAATTTACTTAGAAAGCATCTTCTTATAATTATTAATAAAAATATGATTACACATGTAACTTCAACTATTTTGCATGCATTTAAAAACACTAAGTTATAGTTTTTTAACTGTTAAATGGAGTTGAGGTTACATCTACCTCATTGAGTTGAATACAGATTAAAAGAGATGTCATGTAAATACCACATTCCCTGCCAGAAATGACAAATCACCAAGTGTTTAATTGTAACTTTAAATAATTTTGTAACATAGATACATAACATCCATACCATAGATAATATTTTATAATGTTTGATGGGGTAGGATGTTACTACATATTTAACTATACATTTTTAAAGGTAAAGAATAGTGTAAGTAATCACAATACATTTTTTAAAAATAAATCTTATTTTATTTTTATTTTTTAATTTAATTTAACTTTTTTATTGTTCAAATTCATTTGTCTCCATTTTCCCACCACCACTTGCCCCTGCCCCCCTTCTTCTCTTGCTCCCTCCCTCAATCCTTCCCCACCTTGGCTTTGTCCATGGGTCCTTTACACCTGTTCCTTGAGTTGACCCTTCCCTTCCCTTTCCCCACCCCCTTCTTCTTCCCTCTTGATTCTGTTGGTTTCCTTTTTCTTTCAATGTTGCTGGTTATATTTATTTTAAAAGTAACAAAATTTGCCTGGTGCCCAGATCTTTTTTTCTTTTCTTCTTTTTTTTTTTTTTAAATCCCATTCTCCAGTTAAAGGAATCAGATCTCCTTGGAGATCTAACTGACTCTAAGACTAGGTGACAAAATGAACAAATAGATGTGGAGAGTATCATATTACAAGAAACCAAATAATTACTCAAAAAGCAAAACCATGACTATATGAAAAAGGGACACAGGAGCCAACTGAAGGCACTCCCAGTGAGAAAAGCTAGAATATTTTGAGGCAGAATATGAAAGTATCTTATTATTACATAAAATATAAAATGAATATTTGTGATTTCATGCTGATAAAAATAAATGATTGACAACAAATTGTTTTTTCTCACCCTTTCTCTCTTAAAAAAATCAAATCATTTAAGTAAATAAATACAAACAAATGATTGAATAAATGATTAGGGAAAAATAGATACATCTTGTATATGGAATAATTTCAAATATTTTATGTAGAAACTTTGCACTTTAGAGGTGAAATAACTCTCCACCTGTAAAGTTTGGGCTACACGTAGTGACTGCCTTTCAAACAGTGCATTATGGAAATGGGTGTTGAGAAGAGTAAGTTTATAAGCTTTTTTTAACCCATATGAATTTTCCCAATTGGTCTCCCCTTCTCCATCCCACCCACTCCCACAGTCAATCTCCCTTATTGTTCATGCCCATGAGTCCTCTATTAGAGTTCCTTTGCTTGCCCCTTCCCCTTCTTTCCCCCATTATCCCTCTCCCCACTTCCCTCTGGTCACTGTCAATTTGTTCTTTATTTCAAGTCTCTGGTTCTATTTTGCTCATTTGTGTGTTTTGTTGATTAGGTTCCAGTTACAGGTGAGCTCATACACTATTTGTCTTTCATCTCCTGCCTTATTTCACTTAGTGTAACGCTCTCCAGTTCCATCCATGTGGTCGCGGAGGGTAGGAGTTCCTTCTTCCAGTCTGCTATATAGTATTCCATTGTGTAAGTGTACCTCAGTTTTTTGATCCATGCACTTACTGATGGGCATTTAGATTGCTTCCAGCACTTGGCTATTATAAATAACACTGCTATGAACATTGGGCTGCATAATTGGTGATTCAGGATTCTTAGGGTATAGTCCCAGCAGTGGGATCACTGGATTAAAAGGCAGTTCCATCTTTAGTTTTTTGAGGAAATTCCATACCGTTTTCTACAGTGACTGCACGAGTCTGCATTCCTACCAACATTGTACTAGAGTTCCCTGGAGGAAGAAACTTATTCAAAAAGTGAACTGTGATTTTATAGACCATTTATAGGGACAATAGAAAATAATTAGAAAAAAATTTATATAATTACTTCTGTAGAGCTGAATAATGCAGTGTTTTATACATCATAGTCTCTAGCATTATAATTACAGATCGTCCACAAATAGCATAACTTTCACACATAATTTTATTAATGCTATATATCTTTTGAAATCTGTAGAATCTTCTTTTTAAAAAAAGAACAAATAAATGCAGAAAATAACTTCCTCAATATGATTTTTTTTCCCATGTGGTATTCATCCATTGGAGTTAGCAAATAGTTTTGATTTAATACAGGCTTCTTTCCAAATTCTAGTCTTTGAAACTGAACCTACTATTATTTTTTTGCTTGTTTACTATAAAAGGAATTTTTCTTCAGCAGTGAATGCAGAATTTTAATAAATAAAATGAATTTCATCTTCTCTGAGAGATGTAATTATTATAATTTCATTCAAGAAAATTTAATGATGTTTATTAAAGAAAATGAAATATGCACTATATACCTATTTGGATAACACAATTTTTTATTTTAATTAAAACCAAAAGATATGTCAGTCATTCTCAATGAGCAATATTGTCATTAACCATTCAATTGTTGAGACCAATTATTGCTGATGAGGGCACCCTCTACGAAAGCCCTCTATGTCCAACACTTCTATAAATTATTCATTAATATCAATTTATCTTACTATGCAAAATGTACTAAGTAGGATTCTTTATGTTTCCTTGTATGGAATAAATATAAATATATAAAGTCTCAATGTATATATTTTTCTTCTATATATGAAATGCAAAGAAAAATATTAATAATGCAGACACACACACACACACTTATCTGGAATTAAGTACACTTAATCACCTTTCCTACAGAATTAAATATGATTGTGTATGTGTTCATGTTTTACAAATACTAGTTATTATTCGTGTGTGTGTGTGTGTGTGTGTATAGTCAGTGCCAAATAACAGTCAACAATTTAAAATTCTAAATGTGAATTGTGCTGCTATGAACCCTGGGGTGCATAGGTTCCTTTGAATTGGTGTTTTGGAATTCTTAGTGTATAATCCAATCATATGATCTCATATGTAAGTGGAATATAATCAGCAAAGTAAGCTGGCAAGGAAAATACGGCCAGCAACATAGAAAGAAGAAAGCGATAGGGATGGGAGGGAGGGAAGAAGAGAGGTAGGTAGTGGGGAGGGGAGGGGAAGGGTCAGATCAAGGTACAGGTGTGAAGGGCACACAGACGAAGCCAAGATGAAGAAGGTTCGAAGGGGGGAGATGGAGGTGGGTGGGGCAGGGGAAAGTGATGGCAGGTAAATGAAGACAAATGGATTTGAACAATTAAAAATAAATTAATTAAAAAATTCTAAATGTGATGTCTATGAAATATAATGAAAGTGAAGAAAAGGTGAAGATAATGACTATGTATACCAGATGGCCCGGGAGAATAGGGCAGTGGGGGAAAGAAGAGGAAAGGGCAAGCAAAGGAACGTGAATAGAGGAATCATGGGCACAGACAATGGGAGAGATTGACTGTGGGAGGAGGGGGGACGTGGTAGCGGCAAGCAATGGGGAAATAGACAGGACAACTCTAACTGAATAACAATTTTTTTAAAAAGTTGCTCCTGACAGGCTTAGCCATTGTTCTCATTACCAGTGAAGGACTTAAAGAGACAAAGTTGACCTCAG